GCAGGAGATACTGATGTCTTCATTTGGTTTTGTAAACTTTGATGTCAGAATCTTAGTTTGGCCTGGCCTGGTATTCACTTTGTAGACCAGGCTGGCCTCCATCTCACAGAGATCCCCCCTGCCTTTGCCTCCTGATTGCTGGTATTAAAGGCATGCTCCACCACACCCAGCCTAGAAATAAGTACTTAAAAAGTCTCCTTTGACCCTACTTTCTGTAAGGGGAAGGGGAAGTTCCTCCTTTGGTGACTTTTGTAATATTATTTAATATGTCCCAAAGACATCTTCATTGGAACACAAGATTCCTGTGACCCTTTCTTCCTGAAGGCACAACCAGAATATAGGGACATGTGAGAACAGAGCCTTTTCCCTCATTTATCTCAGTGAATGATAACAGAACGCCTTGTAATGTAATCTTTTGTGTCAAGTGGACTTCTAAAATAGTAAGAGAAAAACTTCTAGCTTCTGCTACTATTAGAGGCTGTTATGACAGAAAAAAAATTGAAAATTACAAAATGAAAACTCCATTTTCTCTTTTCCTCATGGCCAGGTATGGTGGTGCACACCTTTAGTCCCAGCACTTGGGAGAGGGCAGATCTCTGTGAGTTCAAGGCCAGCCTGGCCTACATAGCAAGTTCAGGCCAGCTGGAGCTATAAAAGACCCCCCCCCAAAAAAAAACCCTCAAGTAAATAGAGTGAAAAATGATTTCTGTGGTGTTTTTCTTTCCTGAAAATATTTGAATCATTAATCATCCATGTCAAGGATCTGGGGCTGTGGAGAAGGTTCAGTCAATAATAAACTCGAGTTCCACCCCCAGAACCCACATGAAAAGCTTTGTGTGGCGGCACACCGGTACTGGAAAGGCAGAGATAGGTGGGACAGAGACAGGCTTGCTGAGCAGCCAGTCTACCAAAATCAGCAAGTTCCAGGTAAAAGTGAGAGACCCTGTTTTAAAAAGTCTCTGCCCCCCCATGCACGCTTACAAGCATAAATGATTACATTTCAGGTGCATAGAAAGTTATTTAGAGTAGGTTTCATATGACCTTATACAGTATTTTTTGTGCTTGAGTTGGTCAGTATAATAGAGATGCAAACATGAAACAGCATAGAGAGAACATTTGTAAAAAAAAAACAATTAAGAAGTACCTAGTGGAACTTAAAAGGGAAGCAGGGGTAAGCTTAAAGGTCATAATTTAAATCTTTCTAAGAAAACTACTGTGTTCTTTGATAAGATTAAAAATCATTACTGAACTGTAGCCTGCAGCATTCAACACATTCAGCTTGAATTAAACTGGTAACTTGTGAAATAAGTATTGTGAGTTGAATTTTAATTCTAACATGCTTGGCAAAGCTGAATTGCAATACATTTCTTCTTTATAGAACAAAATGGGAAGGCACCATGCTATTAAAAATGTGTTCTTATTCATTAGTAGTTGTCATTAATTTTGAGGTACACTGAGCTTTTACTATATTGGTGATGCCTGAATGATTTCATGCCATACTCAAAGTGAGCCCATTATGCATGTGTTGTTAAGGTGGTTGTTTTAGAGATGAGGAAGGTGAAGTTCAAAGAGGTGGATAGCATGCCAAAGCGAGGTCTCCAAGCCAACCCATGTGTCTCCAGGGTCCATTTTGAGGACCATAACATTACATGGCTGCTGATCAGAGGAAGAATCGGCTCAATTCTTCTTTCTTTTCTCACTAAACTACACTAAATAGACTTGCATTTCAATATGTGACCTCCCATATACAGGCATAGTTTTGATTTTTTTTTTTTTTTTTGAGGCAGGGTCACTATAGTCCTGGTTGGCCTCAAAGTCATGGTCTTCCTGCCTCAGACTCCTAAGTGCTGGGATTATAAGCATGCACCGCTACAGTGTACTTAGGTACCCCCTCCTGTGTTTTTCTTGAGTCAGAATCTTATTATGTAGCCCTGGGTGGCTTGGAACTCCTTTTGTAGATCAGGCTGGCCTTGAACTCTCAAAAATCTATCTGTCCCACCTTCTAAGTGCTGGGATTAAAGTTGTGGACCACCATGCCCTCCTTAGGTGCACTTTTAATAAACAGCACTTTTTTTTCAGCTCTTGAATTCAGTTTCCTTTAAAAGGAGTAAATTAGGGGAAAAAAATCAGAAATACAACCTCCTTTGGTATAGCAGACCCTTTTAATTTGCAAATGGAATTCCTCCTTTGACCATTGCTAATTTAGTCATTGCAACATAAACTATGAATGAACAAATTAAAACCACCAGGCTAAATCTAGCCACTTGCTGGTTTTCATACAGTCCAAAGAGCTAAAAATAGTTTTTATATTTTTAAGTAGTTGAAAGATGCCAAAGTATAAGTCATAACTTGTGTCATGAAAATGATACAAAATTCAACAGTAAATGATTTGTAAACTATGGACTTTGAGTAATGTGTCAGTGTGTGTTCATCTATTATAATGAATGTGCCACACTGACTGGGGGTATTGATGGTGTGGGAGGCTGTGAAGGGGGTAGGATGTATGTGGGAAATCTGTATTTCCTGCTCACTCTTGCTGTGAATCTAAGCTGCTCTAAGAGACAACGGTTGTTAAAATATATATCAAATCCAGTGTCCATCAATAAAGTTTTATTGGAAGACAGCCATACCCATCTATTTATATATTGTCTTAGGCTCTTTTTTCACTGCAAGAATCGAGCAACTGAGACCAGGTGGCCCCAAAAGTCTGCAATATCTACTCTGTGGGAAGGGGTTTTTCTGGCTGTTCATTTCACTGCATCTGCTGTAGACTAAGCTACTGGTTGAGAGGGTTGCCCCCAGAGTCAAACCTCCAGACTTCCTCTTCTTCTTTAGATTTAATGGTTGTGAGGCTTCTGACAAGTGCTTAACCTTGCTAACCTCAGTTTACTCATCTTTTGAGTTGGATGATAATAGACTACTTACAGGGCAGTTTTAAGGGTTAATGAACCAATAAAGCACCAAATACACATCAGTAATGATTTGTTTTGATTTTGATATTCTGCTTCCCTTTGTGTCCTTCCCTTTTACAATCTAGAAAATTTTCTCAACTATTTGAAATTTGCTTTATTTATATGAAGGATATATTTGTCTACCCAGAAGCCATCTCCTTATTTACTAGTAGTTCCAACATGACCTGGTTAAGTTCCTTATTTGTATTTTACCATCCAGTTTGTCCTTATTGATCAAAATTGTTCCAGGGTAGTAATTAATTCTCTATAGCTTCATCTTCTAAAATGAAAAGTATCAGCATTGAAAGTCGAGAGGCAGGTTTCTGGCTGATACCTATGCTTTTAGAAGAATCAATTCAAATATTTTTGCTATTCCCTAATTCATATAAAAAGCAACTACATATGATGTATTGTTATTTAAGATTATCTCACTAGAAATCACTGGATTCCTTTACTAAAAAATAAAGGTGAGTCATTCTGAAAATTTCAATTTCTTATTCTGTAGAAAAAAAAAATTCATACTATTATCCAAGACATCCTGGACAGGTGAGAATTCCAAAGGCCAAAAGTTGCCCATTTTATAAGCCACATAATGTGGCTCTGTCATTTTAATGAAAGATATTTAGATTCAACACAAGAGCAGCCATTATGCATGTTATATGTTTTTTTCTGGAGAGGTACTCTACACTGTGATTAGCTGCAATAGTCCAAGACATTGGGCCTTTTCAAAGTCTTGAAGTTCTACAACTCTACTAGTTGATGACTTCAAAAAATATTTCATTTTTCTGGGGCAGTTTTGCAAAGTAGCAATAGTATTGGTTGCATGACTCAGCAGTTGTGGGAAACAAAACAAATCACAAATAATTCAGTGTTAGTGAGACCCGTAATGCTTTTCTTTTCTTCCTTGTTTCCGTAAGATGCATTTGCAAGCCATTTCTGCCTCATATCAGTGCTGAAAATGAAAGAATTTCCTTTTCCTTCTGCTGAAATTCAGCTCAGCTTATCAGTGTCGCACCCAAGGCCAGCTGCCTCCTCCACCTCAGACAGAGGTGACAGTGGCAGCTTCGTGGCTGGGCTTTTGGTAATGTGTCCTTGGCAACTAAAACTTCGTGGCTGGGCTTTTGGTAATGTGTCCTTGGCAACGTCTCAGAAATTTAGGCTGGAGGTGGGGAGGACTCTTAAATTGTTCTTAACCTCCAGGCATCATGTTCCTAGACACTACCAAACTTTGGTAAAAATTCCACAAATCTGAGGACCAGGGTGAGGTGTTTCAGGTGTGGGACTGAAGCTGGCATCACTTTCATACAAACAAACAACCTTGAACACATTATTCAGAAGCTATGCCAATTATCTAAGCAAGAGAAGGTTTTGTAGTGGAAAGGAAAAGCTAATATTACCCTGGTAAATTTCTATTAAATTCCTTTGAAAGGGGTTTAAATGCCTCGTCTGTGTGGAGGAGGCCCCAGCAAATCTTCGCCCCAAGCAAGGAGTGCTTTCAGGGTTTGGTTTGGGTATGCCCGAAATGTTGTGCCCGGAGAACAGACCCCCAAGAATAACCATGGAATCCAGAGGGCATGCAAGAACAAAGAGTCTTTATTCGGGCTTAAGCTCGGGCTCTCAGACCTCACCAACGGGAACTTGGGGAGCTAAGCACGCAGAGATGAGTGAACCATCTCCCTACAGGGCTAACCAGCCTCTCTGTCCTCTTGCCCCTGCCCGGCCCTGCAGGAAGCTCCCCACCAGGGCCAGTCCCCCAGGGTGTGATCCGCATCTACAGCATGAGGTTCTGCCCCTATTCGCACAGGACACGCCTGGTCCTCAAAGCCAAAGGCATCAGGTGAGAAACTGAAGCCAAGTGCTCTATGAGCAAGCAAGCACTCATTCCTAGGTGAATATTGAAGGTCTTGGGCTCCTAGGAAGGGCTCTTTTTTCTTCTGAGGCTGACTGAGGAAGCAAAGGTCCGATTTTTGTGGAGGTTCTCCTAAAATGCTAAGCGCTTCCCAAATCAGATTTGTATGAAACCTAGACAGGGCAAAGTAAACTGAATGATGGTGTTGGGGAATTGGTTGGTTCCCCTAGTGTTTACTTAGGAAGGGCACAGTTAAGGTCATCGAGGCGTCTCCTAACTCTCAGAGCAGCCCCACCCCAACCTCAGGCAGCATGGGTCAACTATGTTCCATTATGATGGTGTCGGGGAATTGGTTGGTTCCCCTAGTGTTTACTTAGGAAGGGCACAGCTAAGGTCATCGAGGCGTCTCCTAACTCCCAGAGCAGCCCCACCCCAACCTCAGGCAGCATGGGTCAACTATGTTCCATT